AGCTCCAGAGCCTGTTCTCCTGCAGAATTCTCAGTGGAACCAGTCCAGGTGGGAACCCATGGCTGAGTAACGCAAGGTACCAGTGGGAGATGAAGGGATGTGATGCTGCCTGTGGGTGTGCAGGGCGAGAGCTCCACCCATACTCACACACATCTTGGTTATCGTTAAGAGACCAGACACCTGGCCAGGGAAGGGCGTGGGCTCTGGAGTTGGACCCCACAGATTTGCAGCCTGACTCCTCCTTTCACAGATAATGTCAGTTTCCTTACCTGTGAAAGGAGGAAACCAGCCTCCCAGAGGGGGGTTGTGAGGAATATAGGAGACAATGCCCTCCGAAAGTGCTTAGTAAGCCCAAGGACCCAGCATTTCCTGATACAGTACTCAGGAAGGACCCAGCACTTCCTGCTCCTGGACTCAGTAAACCTCATCCTCCACAGGGGAGACTGGTGAGGAAACTGACGCTCACAGGGCAAGTTCAATCCTAGTCCTTACACTAGCCCCTTAGGGAAGACACCAAATCCATGACAGCACCACCCAGGTCTGTTTCTACAGGCTCCTCAGCCCTCCCTACATGGCCATTTTCTGAGCAGGCTCCACTTGTCCATCTCACCATCTGTGCCACAAAGCCCAGGAGCTAGTCAGATTTGCCACGTCTACCTGCACCTCCCCCTCCCCAACACAGTGTGACATCATCTGAGGCTCCTTATCCCCTTCCCTATGCTGTGCAGGGAGTGCCACACAGGCCTTATCTGGGCCTAGAGCTCCACCTGGGGTGTGTGTGGAGGGGACAGGGTAGGAAAGCCATTTCTAGACCCACTGGCTTCAAAACTTGTTGCTATAAAGATCTCTGGGGGTGATTCAAAGTAGGCTGGGAGTAGTGTCCAGCCAGCTCAGGAAAGCGGGTGTCTCTTCCAGGTGGGAAGGGGCAGACAGCTTGCTGTGGCCACTCCCTACAGCTAGTGGTAAAATCAGACTGTGCATCTACCCTGGGGACCCAGGTCTGACCAGTGAGTTTCCTGGAGGGGGAGCAGGCAATGGATATTCAGAGCTCTTTGGGAAGCTTCTTCTGGCATTTCTCTCTCTCTCTTTTTTTTTTTGAGACAAAGTCTCACTTTGTCACCTTCAGTAGACTGTCGGGGTGTCATAGCTCACAGCAACCTCAAACTCTTAGGCTCCAGCAATTCTCTTGCCTTAGCCTCACAAGTAGCTGGGATTACAGGCACCCGCCCTAACACCTGGTTATTTTTAGAGATGGGGGTCTTGCTCTTGCTCAGGCTAGTCTCAAACCTGTGAACTCAGGCAATCCACCTGCCTCGGCCTCCCAGAGTGCTAGGATTACAGGCGTGAGCCAGCCCGCCCTGCCATCTTCTGGCGTTTCTCACTACCAACCTCCAAGGAAGACTTTCATTCCCAAGAAGCTGGAACCACCTCACACCCTGCAATAGCTGTTTTCACAGCAACTGGGAGGTGATAATCGAGACTTCCCGAGGCTGCAGCCCCCAGCCTGACAAGATGGGAAGGGGCTGACTTCCATAAATGAGACCAGGTGTGGTGGCTCATACCTGTAATCCTAGCACTTTCAGAGGTTAAGGCAGGAGGATCGCTTGAGCCCAGGAGTTTGAGGTTGCTGTGAGTTAGGCTGGCAGCACAGCACTCTAGCCTGGGCAACAGAGTGTGATTCTGTCTCAAAATAAACAAACAAATGAAACAAACGCTGGCTGTTGCCAAAAAACACAACACAGGATAGCACTCTGCTTCATCTGTGGAGTGAGCTAACTCAGTGACTCCCTTTCCCTATCTCTGACCAGCATGCTGGGGTTCTGAAGCACGGATGCAGCCCTAGAACTGACCATAGACCCACAACCCAGGACACATCCTCCGTCATCAGTCCTGCTTCACTGAAGCTTTTGCTTGCAAACCCCTAGTGCTGGGAACCTCATTATACACACTCAGGTCTAACTGAAGTTCTTGCCATGCTCCCTGGCCATGCAACAGAGACTCCCTCTTGTCAAGCCCCACTCTGCTCATGGGAGGTCCCCCTACTCTCCACACCCTTTAGGAATTTGAAAGCCATGACCCAATCCCTAGCCCAGGTTGCCTTGGCAGGCTAAACTTGTGGAATCAGCACATTTAAGAGGTGAAAGAAGAGGGTAATGATATTGCCCAGCCAACTTCATCCCACACAGCCCTTCCTCAGCTGAGGATCCTACACCCCAGGCTTCCAGGACTCCCACACAGCGCTCCTGAAAACTGAAAAAAACGGCATGAGGCGTTTCCAATAGGTATTGTGACAAGCATGGGGCCCAGCTACGCACTACCCCACTGCCCTACTCCCTGGCCATAGCAGTGACTCGTGAAGCCTAAATGCACACCCTTGCACACTCTTGCACACGTGCACACACACAACACTGACTCCGGTGGGAAACCTCGCCTTCATTCCTGAGTAGCTAACACTTCTAAGTTTACAAACGGGACTGTGACGACGCTTCAGCAATCCCATCGATCTGCTTAGACTCAGCCTCAGTACTGAAAGGTGGCCAATTACTTCTCACTCCACTTGTATCCACAGACAAGAGGAGGGAAAGGCTGGTGCCCACTGTACCCTTCAGCCCGAGTGGGACAGCCTCCTCCTCTTCCTCCTATGGCCCAGGAACCAGAACTGAGCCAAGATCCGCTCTGCAGCAGGACACACATAGCTAAATGACAGGATGAGACAAGGTTTTGCATCTGTCTTCTATCAAGAACCTAAGTCAGACTGATAGTGACACCTGTGACAGCAACTCAGTGACACAAAACCAAAGCCTCAGTGACACAAAACGGACAGCTGTGGGCTCAGAAACTTATTCTGAGATAGTTTTCTCTTAGACTTTAGGGTTCTTTGTGAACAATTAAACTTACAGAAATTCTGAAACCACCTTTGGGCAGAAATGGGCAAGTTCTGGCCTGAGAGCCTCTGAAAAGATGATGTCCTGTAGGGTAAGTGCTTCTCATTTTAATAAATACACAAACCACTCGGGGATCTTGTTAAAACAGGTTCTGACTCCATGGGTCTGGGATGGCACCTGCGACCTTGCATTTCTAACCAGCTCCCAGGTAAAGCCATGCTGCTGGCCTAGGGACCACACTTTGATCAGCAAGATGCCAGACTAGACTAGAGCATCGAAGGTAACAACAGCCCTTGAGTGACCTGCAGGTGTCTAAGAGAGGGCAAGGCCCCACACCTGCCTGCAGTGCTATGTTATGCCACGGGCCCTGGTGTCTGGGGAGGTTGCCCTATGAGTCCCTCCGACCCTTTAATCAAATTGGGGTTTGCAAAGAACAAGATCTTGGATGGCACTAGCTCCTTCCACACCCGGAGGAGCACAGCCCCTGATCAGAATGCCCAGGGGACAATTCTCGGATTTCCCTGGGTGAAGGGAGGGCGGAAAACACACAGGAGAGACCTGGGGTTACCGTTCTTATCTTTGGAGGACTCTGGTGTGTGGCCCTCACCACCAGGTGCCAGAGACACAGAGTTATAATCAGACAGGCTGCCCTTGAGGAGCTCACAGTTGGGCAGGGAAACCAGTGCCTCAGTACTTCCAAAACTGTTACATGACAAGAGAAATGTTCTACCAGTGACAGGAAACACAGCAGGCCCAAAGAGGAAGCAAGGAAGTCTGTAGGGTGCATGACTCCGTGTGCCATAGAGGACTGTTGGGAAGGCAACGACTGAGCTGGCCTTAAGGGAGGCACAGGGCCCTTCCAGATAAGATAAGGCAGGGGAACAGCATTTTAGGAAAAAAATCAGGTTTTTCATAAAGTATGCTATGTCCAAGGAATGTGAGCAGTGTGTGCTGGAACAGCTGGGACGGTAATTATTGAGGGGCCCAGGGAGGAAGCAGGGCAGAGGCCTCCCTATTGGGGGCTAGAAAAGGAGGAAGGGTCTACTGAGTATGAAGAAAGAGATCTAAGGCAAAGTGAATTTTAAGCAAATTAAACACTCTCCCTTTATGAACTTTCTCGTGGTAAGAATTAAATTAGTCACTCAATCTCTCACTTTTTACATGCCTCAACTCCTAGACGCATATAAATCTTTTGGCATCTGGCTTTTTACCTCTCGACATTAAGCATAAGCACTTCCCTGGATTATTATAAACTTTAAACATTACGTTTTAGTGGCTACACAATATCCTACCACATGGATACACAAAAATCCATTTATCCCTGTTGCTGGGCATTCAGGTGGCTCTCAGTTGTTCATAATTATAAATGATGCCTTTTCTGAATTTCTGATCATGGCTTTGGCACAGATTCTCAGGAGTGGGATTAGCATCAAAGGGTGTGGGCGCATGCTCATGACTTGTGACACGTGGCCAGACTGCCTTCTGCCAGGGCCACGGGAGAGGAGTTTGGGTCCAGTAATGAATACTCAGATTCTAGAAAAAACTCTTAGGGGAAGGGAGGAAGGGGGCACCTGAGTCATTCAAGAGCTCCTGGCTGGGGCTGGGGGGCGTCCTGTGGGAGGGGCTGAGCAGTAAGGATGTGGCCCTTGCCTGTGCCCTGCAAGTGGCTCACACTAAAGTGGGACAGAGGACAGTGCCCTGTAGCCATGTAGGTCTTGCTCAGCCCACAGGAACAGGTGGGACTGACCGGTTCCATCACAGACTGGTTTTCTCTTTTTCTCTAATGAAGTTCCTTCTAAAACCTGAAATCTTGGCTTTAAAGCTGGACTGTCATTAGCAGGACCAAAGCAGCCAGACAAAGAGCCCTCTGGGCTGTCCCTGAAGGCTGGGAAGATTGCACACCAGACCCTGGAAGCCAGTCCCAGGATTTCTCCTCGGCTTGGCCTCCTTTCCCTCTGGGGTTTAAATCATCTTTGAGTGGTCCTGCTGTACTAGGAAAAAGGACGGCCCAAGCAGATCATGTACCAAAGCTGTGTAACTGGTGCTGAGCACAGTCTAGGACTGCTGGATGTAACTCCTTCTTTCAAGGTGAGCGCAGAGCCACAGGCTCCTTACCTGCCAGGGCTGGGATGGTGACCCGGTTCCATTCCCATGGCTGGTCGTACTCATCAGCAGGCCTGTCATCATCCTGGGGCAGCTTGCTCTCCCGCAGTCGGGGGCTGACGGGGTTCTCAGAGTCCGAGTCGACACTTTGGCCTTCAGGTTCATAAGGGGTGTCATATAACTGGATACCTTTATGCTGCGACCGGACACTTTCCTGCCTCTGAAATTCTGCAGGCACAAAGAGAAAGGAAGCAGAGATATAAGGAGTGTGCCACCTGCGCTTCCCTGCCTGGATCCCCACCAGGGAACATCCCTGAACTCAGAGCTGCCAGCCTGGAGGTGAGGATGACATACAGACAGGCCTCTTTCTGGGCTTCACTGCCTGCCATGCCCTGAAGGCAGTGTCCCTGCTCCCACTGGGCAAGGCATTCTCTCACATATCACAAGCTTTTAGACCTAATCACAGTGCCAGAAGGTTCCCAACTCGGTCTACTTGTGGATCTGTCTCAAAGAGCAGAGCAGGGCCCAGGCATGAACACCACGTTCCAAGTGTGTCCTGACACCTGCCTAGGAAAAAATGTGGAGCTCTCGCCTCTCCACTTGATAGAAGAGTGGGAATCTCCCCCACTAGGGAAGTTCCCCACCTTCTCTGGGCTGTACAACAAGGAGATTGGGCCAAATGGCCCCCAAGTTCCTGCCCAGCTCACATGTTCATTTAAAAGAACCAACAAAAAGCCTCCCCCAGTGGATCTGAGGCCACCATTTTCTCCCCTATGAAGCCTGGGTGGTCCCCTCCCTTCACATCTACCTCCCCAGAGCCTTTCTGTCTTCTAACCAGGCTGAACACACAGGGATTCGGAGAAGATGTGATGCTTACTAAGGCTTAGTTCTGGTGCAGGCTGAGGGGTAACCCACCTGCCTGCCTGTCTAGAGGAGAGCTCAGACAGGAGATGTGCATTTCAGCTGCTGCTGCTTCCAGGGAGGCCAGCAGTGGCTGCACAGAGGGATGCTAGAATGATAACATCAGGTGCTTCCTGGTCAAACAGGGAAACCCAATGTGCTGTTTGATCATTGATACCCACTGTGTATGAGGCCAGAGCAAGGAGCGAGGGAAGGCTCTCTGTGAAGGTGGCTGTCAGGAGGCCCACTGTTCCCAGGAGACATGAAGTACCGCAGTGCTTGGTGGCAAAGGGGAATGTAGGGCCCGGGAGGGGCAGGGCAGGAGGGAAGAGAACTGGCATTTGAACTGACAGCTCTGACAAGTGGAGACAGGAGGGAGTGGCATTCCCTGTGGTAGGACCACAGCAAGCCAAGGCAATCTGGCTGGAAAGAACATGCTCCATACCTACTTTTTTTTTTTAATTGTGATAAAATATATGCAATAGCATCCAGCATTTTAGCCACTGTTAAGTGTGGCCTTATGTACATCCACTTTGTTGGCAACCACTGCCACCATCCATCTCTAGAAGGGTCTCATCTTCCCAAACCGGAACTCTGTACCCATAAAACACTACCCCCTGTCCCAGCCCCCGCAATCACTGTTTTCCTTGATGTCACTGTGACTCTGCCTGCTCCTGGGACCATTTGGTGCCTGTCCTCCTGTGACAGGCTTATCTCACTTAGCATAATGTTTTCAAGGTTCTTCCATGCTGCAGCGTGTATCAGAATTTCACGTGTTTGAAAGGCTGAGTAATATTCCATTTTAGTGTTCACATCGGGCAGAGAATGTATCCAACAAGTTGTGTAGCCTTTATTTGTTGTTTGTATATTCACTGTCCACTCTGGCTGGAGCACTAGGTCTACAGAGGTGAGATTTGATGCAAAACAGGGAGGGCTGTGAGAGGAACTGTTTAAATGTACCCTCGAGGCCTTCCCTCCATCAGTTCTGACAGCACAAAGAGAGGGCAGAAACCCACGGGAGTAATTGCCTCCGAGAGCAGCTGAGATGTGCACACCAATGATGCCAGCCCTCCCGAGCCACAGCATTACTTTCAGACTGGGCTTCATGACGCAAGGGCAGCTCACGGGAGCGACAAAAATTCTAACCTGCACGCACGCCCTGATAAAACAGAAGCCAAGGACATCGCATCAGAGTTTTTGTGTGTTTACATTAATTAACTTTATGCTGGTATTTCCCAAACTTCATTTAGTCACAAAGTGATTGCATGTTGATTGTTTCTGACTACCACCTGGGTTGTTAACAATTCACCGGTTTACAATTCACCATTTATGTTGCCTTACTTTTTAGGTTAAGTAAGTTCACTTAAAGGGGGAATTGTGTATCACTACCCCACAAAACATCAGCCTTTGCCAGATGCTAAAAATAGAATGAGTGGGCTTGGCACCTGTAGTCCAGCGACTAAGGCACCAGTCACATACACCTAAGCTGGCGGGTTCGAATCCAGCCTGGGTCTGCCAAACAACAATGACAACTACAACCCCCTTTCCCTAAAAAAGTCGGGCATTGCGGCAGGCGCCTGTAGTTCCAGCTACTCAAGAGGCTGAGGCAAGAGAATCGCTTAAGACCAAGAGTTGGAGGTTGCTGTGAGCTATGATATCACCGCATTCATCCCCAGGGCAACTGATTGAGACACTGTCTCAAAAAAAATAGAATGAGTGGGAACCCCACCAAGTAGGTAGGCACCATGGCCTGCTGGGAGGCTGAGGCGGGACTTCCTTGCCCCCTACCTCAATGCTCTATAGGAGAGTGCATGTGAGTGCAAGCAGCAAACAGACACTTCTGTGGCAAATAATAATTTTCTCTCTAGAGAGAGAGTAAAAATCTTCTCATTACGTGGTTCAGGACATCTAAACACACATCTCTCATGTGATGGTGTCTTATACTCTGCTAAAACATGGTTTTTGTTGGTCCCACAAATGAACTAGGATCATTTATTAAGCTTGAGGATGGTGCATCCCTTTTTTCAGGACAAAGAGGAAAAGGAAAGAAAAGAGCTATTGAATGGTAGAACTTGGTCCCTTTAAGGTGAAGACCAACTGTAAAGTACTGAGGATAACTTTACAAATTCCTAAATCAAAACAAACCACTTGATCTGTTATATCCTGCTTTGTAGAGTTCTCAACATCTAAATTATTCTCCCTCAGTTCTCTTTTGTATTATTACTTTTAATTTTTTTGAGTCAGAGTCTTATTACGTCGCCCTCAGTAGAGTGTCATGGTGTCACAGCTCACAGCAACCTCCAACTCTTGGGCATAAGCAATTCTCTGGCCTCAGCCTCCCAAGTAGCTGAGACTATAGACCACAACACCCAGCTATTTTTTTTGTTGTTGTTGTTGCAGTTGTCATTGTTGTTTAGCTGGCCCAGGCCAGGTTCGAACCCACCACCCTTGGTGTATGTGGCTGCCGCCCTACTTTAAAAAAAAAATTTTTTTTTTTTTTTTGAGACAGAGCTTCAAGCTATCCCCGAGTAGAGTGCCATGGCATCACACTCACAGCAACCTCCAACTCCTGGGCTCAAGCGAGTCTCCTGCCTCCACCTCTCAAGTAGCTGGGACCACAGGTGCCCGCCACAACGCCTGGCCGTTTTTTGGTTGCAGCCATCATTGTTGTTTGGCGGGCCTGGGCTGGGGATTTGAACCCGCCACCTTAGGTGTATGTGGCTGGTGCCTTAGCAGCTTGAGCCACAGGCGCTGAGCCTACTTTTAAATTTTTATTTGCTGTGATGTCTGGGCTGGTCTCAAACTCCTGAGCTCAAGCAATTCTCCCCCTTAGCTTCCCATGTAGCTGGAATTACAGGCATGAGCCACTGTGCCCAGCGGTTCCCCCCAGTTCTGAGGAGTGGTGTCTAGTCTCCCGGTCTGGGGAATTCTCAGGGCTGAGGACATTGTAGCTGATGAGGCACTGATCTGGGGAGATCACTCTCCTCTTCACCCTCCTTCCCGAGAGCAGGCCCAGCAACCATTACGGGGTACTCTACAGGTTTAAAAAGCACTACTCACGTGTTCTGCCACTGAATCTAAAGATACCACAAAGCAACCCCCAGATGCACCTCCCATCAGCCCCCAAAGTCAGGAGTGCCTTTGCTCACTCTTGCTTATAGAGCCCAGCCCCAAACAGTGAACGTGGCTGCGATAAATGAATGAGAACTGACAGCCAGAAACCACTATTTACCCCCAAACTTCAGTTAATTTATGAAAGTCCCTGACAGCAGTGATAAAGTATCTGGAATAATATGCCAAATGCATACAATTTAGCATTACACAATATTCAGAAGGGACGGACACTCTACATAAATACTGGTCTAAAAGGAAAACATGTGCGGTGAACAGATTAGCTATTAAATCAGAGGGGCTGGTGCATATACCTCTCACGCAGGATTTATTGTTCCAAAGCTGGGTTAGTAACGGCATGCAGTTAGGGCCGGGGATGTTATAACAGTAATCGTTAAAACAAGCCTCCCCTGTATTACACAGTAAATCCAAATTTTCATTAAGGCCCCAACAATAGGGAACAGTTAAGTAAATTATGCCATGTTAACTAGATGGAATATTAAACAGCCATTAAAATGATAAATCTGAAGATTATGTAGCTATACAGAAACGTGTGCATGAAATTATGCAAAGTTAAAAAGTAAAATACAAGATTGTTTATTTCTTGAGGGCAAAACATATACTGCCAGTTTTCTAAACAAGTCTTGGGCAATGTGAACAAGGTCCCAAAGGGAATTCTGCTCCTTGCTTGGGAATTGCCAAATACCAGCGCTGGGCCTTTTGTCTGGAATAGCTCCACTCTGATGGCAGCACTGTTGTAAAGAACAGACACACGGGAATGGAGAGTGGAAAACCCAGCACAGGAAGGTAAACAGCTACTGTATAGAGAAGATTATTGCATAATTATTTTTGAAAGTTGATTTAAATAATGAATGAAGACACTAGTAAAGAAAAAATGTAATTAAGACGAGGAAGACATGAAAGTAAATAAGATTCTAAGCAGGTTGGGCTCCCGGGAGCTGTGCATGTTTAGGAAGCAGCTGCCTTTACCTGAGAAAATGCCCCTTTAGGGAAAGCATCTTCTCCCCCAGAAGTTCACCCAGAGCCCCAGAAAGCTGAGGGACACTGTGCCAGACAGTTTGCCAGGCATCACCATCTCCTACCTAAAGACCAGGCCTGTCCTCCTTATTAGCCAGAGTAATCCATTATGGCTGAGACTGATCTAACAGGAAAGTCGGGACCATATGTTTTAAGTCACAAATTATCTGGACATCGCC